GAGAGGGAGGGAGGGAGGGAGAGACAGAGACAGAGAGAGAGAGAGAGAGAGAGAGAGAGAGAGAGAGAGAGAGAGAGAGAGACTATACTAAAGTAGAAAACCTAGAAGGATAGAGCTACTCAAGCTCACTGAAGTTCAGATGATGCCACTACAAACCCCAAACTATAAACCCAAGGCTGTAGGGTTTGGCACTTGCCCTCCTGGGTTTTTACCTGACTGTGGTTCAATCTTATCTGGCCTCCATGTGGAATGGTAATGTTTATTCTTCTTGTCAAATATTAGAAGTGTTACTCTCATGCAATTCTCTCTGTCCTCATGGTTCAGCAAGACTGGAGAGAAGTTGTCAGAATTGGCTTGATGTCCATCTTATGTTTCAAAGACATAAATCACAAGTTCCTTATCAGTTTCTATATAGAGCATCATTTTTCAGACTGTAAATCTTGAACTAACAACAAGTTATGAGACTGATGTAGTGAACTTTATTAACCAGTTAAATGAAAGGAAGTGGAAAGAAAATTGAGTATGCATCACAAAGTGGTTGGTAGAACTGGTCTGTGGAACTTCAATTTTGGTTATATTTATGGTTTTGGGGGGGGGTTGTTTTGGTTTGGTTTGGGTTTTTTGTTTGTTTGTTTGTTTTTGTTTTTCGAGATAGGGTTTCTCTGTGTAGCTTTGTGCCTTTCCTGGATCTCATTCTGTTGACCAGGCTGGCCTCAAACTCACAGAGATCCGCCTGGCTCTGCCTCCCAAATGCTGGGATTAAAGGCGTGCGCCACTGCCTCCTGGCCTTATTTATGTGGTTTTTATTGTTCAGATTTATTCACAAGTATTCACCTTTTTTTCCCCTGACTTTGGACTCACCGTGTGATTTGTTTTAGCCAGTGCTCTGGAAGCAGAGGTGGTATGATCTTCAAAGGTTTGAAGAACATTTGTGTAGTACAGCTTTTACTCTTCTGAACTTCTGCCATTTCCATGAGAAAGCGTAGGATCAGGCTAGTCTGCAGATATCAATAACATGATGAAAGATATATGAAGCCTAACCATCCATGCTAAACCACCCAGCCAGGTACAGCCTATGTCAGCCAATCACTGACCACCCACATGAACCAGCCCTGTGAAGGCCAACATGCCACCCATCTGAGTCCAGTAGAGGTCAACTGGCTCTACCCAACCCACAACAATAAGGTGAAAATAAACACATATTCTGGAATGCTCATGAGTTTTTCTGAATCTTCATTTGTTATGTTGGCAACATGCACTATAGTGAATTACAAAAGATTTGGAAGTTATTGGTCAAAGCTCCATGGTTCTCCTTCATTTCTTCTTATTTTGAAAGGAAGTCCCTGAGAAGGCTGGTCACAGTGGTAGACAATACAGCTACACAGAAGGATGAGGGGGGTAAGAGAGGGGAGGATGGCAATGGACCCTCACACTAGCATCTGAGGTCCTTGAAACTATGTCCTGTAACTCTCTCTGTGTGTTCTTGGTGTCTTCCAATAAACCTTTCTTCAAGCCATTTCAGAAAGGTGTCTGCTTGCTTGAAACTTAAGTGTCAAGTTCTTTATATTTATAAATAGTATTAAAGCCTGGTTTTCTCACTATTAACTATGTTTATACTCCATCTCCCTCATTAATCCTAAAGAGTATAAACATTTAATACTGGGAGCAAAAGTAATAATGTCCTCCTACACAACTTGGCTCAACTTAATACCTCCTTTTAAAAAAATCATTTTATTTTATGTGGGTGAGTGTTTTGCCTTGCCTTGCATCACCTGCGTGCCTAGTGCCCGAGGAGGCCAGAAACGGATTAGATCCCCTGGACTGGAGTTACAGATGGCTGTGAGCTACCACGTGGATAGTGAGAATTGAACCTGAGTCTTCGGGAAGAGCAGCCGGTACTCTTAACTGCTGAGCCCTCTCTGCAGCCTACAACTTAATACATTCTTATCTAGTCTATCTCAGTTTATAAACGTGGACTGCTCCAAAGAGGCTTCAGGTATCTTACAATTAAAAACTCAATTTTAAAACTCTAATTCATGGCTCAGTTATAGTCATTTCTAATAACTATATTAGTAATTTCAAATATTATTTACCTTATACCTATTATGTTTTTTAGTGCTTCATTCTAGAGAGCTGCCGTCTGAGTACACAGTCACAGTACCTGGTCACCAAAGTAACTAAGTGACATTGAAAGTTAAGGGCTAAGTCAGATTTCTGAGTCTGAGAATCTAGTCCGGGCTTCTGAACAGACAGTGAAAACACCATGTCTTTGGGAATGCTCTACACCCAGCAAGAGCTGAGCAGAGAGGCGGTGGTAGGCAAAACAGCCTTGTTGTGACCAGTTTCTTATACCAGTTTCAAAGCTCTAAGTGCTGGAGATGTAGCTCTGTGTGACACCAGGGTTTGACCCCAGCAAGGGAAAGAAGCATATTCTTTAAAAAAAGGACAGTAACTGCAGAGAGAAAGGGGGAAAGGCTGTGGCATGCTTTCCAAATTCCGAGAGTCACAAACTTGGCCTGGGTTGAAACAAAATAACACTTTTCTGACCATCAAAACTAATGAAATAGAACCAAGACACAGCTGAAAGAGTCCTGTGTGTGGGGACAAGGGTCGTGGTGGTGATGGTGGTGTGTCTGCATGTGTGCTCAAAGTGTCACGGTTTGAAGCAGTTCATTTAAAAACGATGAAAACCTTCGTGCATACCCTTGAGGTTCCCCAGAGAAAGCATTTCCTGGTGTTATTACAGAAGGTTCCATTAGATAAGAGATCACTCACTGTACAGATTCATGGTGTCATCTCCTAGGTTCCTTCTAGAGGAGTGGATTCAATTTCCCCTGTTGAAAACTTCCTTACCGGAGGGATGCTCATTAAGACTCAGGAAGCATTAAAGCCGTGGTTCTCGGCTTCCTAACGCTGCAACCCTTTAATATAGCTCCTCGTGTTGTGGTGACCCCCAACCATAAAATTATTTTGTTGCTACTTCATAACTGTAATTTTGCTACTATTATAAATTGTAATGTAAATATGTGATATGTGACCCCTGTTGGGGTCACGACCCCCAGGATGGGAACCAATGCTCTAAAGGGAGGGTTTTTCTTAGAATTTGGGAAATAACTCAAAAATTCTCAACAAGCTCCTGGAACTGACCAGATGCACAAGGCTCTTCCTCCCCAGGGTTACAGTGAAAGGGAAAAACAGTAGCCATCTTGAGAGATACTCCCCCACCCCCTCCTCTAAAGGTATTTGCTGACCAGCAGTTTTAGAACTGACCAGAAGTTGAACTCATAGGAAGATAAGGCTGAAACAATAAATATTTATCCTGGATTGGTAAAACAGGATATGGGGAGTAATGGGCTCAACCGACCAGAAGTTGAACTCAGAAGAGGGTAGGACTGGAACAATAAATCTGAATGTATAGATCCTGGGTTCAGCAAAAACAGGACACAGGGAGTACAAATTTATGTCTCTGTAGGTACCCTGAATCCTGTTAGCCATCAGTAACCTCATGCTTATAGTTCAGCCAGTAACTTCAAAGACTGCCTCACCCCAGCCCCCTGGTCCAATCCCAAGCCGCATATAAACCTTTTCTTTTTTTTTTTTTTAAAGATTTATTTATTTATAATGTATACAGTGTTCTGTTTGTATGTATCCCTGCAGGCCAGAAGAGGGCACCAGATCTCATTACAGATGGTTTTCAGCCACCATGTGGATGCTGGGAATTGAACTCAGGACCTCTGGAAGAACAGCCAGTGCTCTTAACCTCTGAGCCATCTCTCCAGCCCCACTATACAAACCCCTTCAAGTGAGTGCTCGGCCGTCCTCCTCCACCCGCTGTGTCTGGTGTTGGACACGGACCAAGCCCGAGCTTGCTTATTATCAATAAACCCCTTTGTGTTTTGCATTGGATACTGGCTCTGTGGTGGCCTCACTCGGGGGTCTTGCGACTCGGGCACAACAGCAGCAGTGAGAAAAGCCGACAAGGCAGATTTGTCAGGCTGCCGGCTGGCTGCGTAGACTCCAGAACACTGTCCATGCTGCTCCAGCTTTCGGTGATGTGGCCGCTCTTCGGTCACCCGGTAAATGCACTGCTTCGCCACACTGGGCTTCAGCAGTATCCTGACTCTCGTCTATTGTTTCCCTATCTGGGTTGAGTAGACGTTTCTTCACACCTCTCCCAAAAGTGTCATGAAACGGTGGTGTTACGTACCTGTGTGTGCTGTGTACGTGTTTGCGTACACGTGTAGAGGTCCGAGGTTAATGTCAGGTGTCTTGATTACTCTCCACTTTCATTTTTTAAAATTATTTTCTTGTGTGTGTGAGAGGGTATGCACATGTGAGCATGGGTACCCACAGAGGTCAGAAGAGGGTACTGGATCCCCTAAGGCTGGTGTTACAAGCGGCTGGGAACTGAACTTGGGTCCTCTGGAAGAGCAGCAAGCACCCCTAGCCCGTGAATCACCCCTCCACCTTCGTTCCCCGACTACACTTGAAGCTCACTGATTCAGTTAGGCTGGCAAGTATAGCTAGAGTTTTCCTGCCTTGCCCACAGTCAGGACAAATCTCTCTCACCCGCTAGTCCCACAGCCACTCAGACCCAACCAAGTAAACACACAGACTTATTTTGTTTACAAACTGTATGGCCGTGGCAGGCTTCTTGCTAACTGTTCTTATAGTGTAAATTAATCCATTCCCACAAATCTATACCCTGCCACGTGGCTCGTGGCTTACCGGTACTTTACATCTTCCTTGTCCTGGCGGCTGGCTACAGGCTGTGAGTCCTGCCTTCCTGTTCTTTTATTTCTCCTCTCTGTTAGTTCCGCCTATACTTCCTGCTTAGCCACGGCCAATCAGTGTTTTATTTATTGACCAATCAGAGCAACTTGACATACAGACCATCCCCCAGCACAGCCA